CATATCAATGGTATCTTGCTATATGTGGTCCTTTATGGCTGACTTCTTTCACCTAACTTAATAGTTTCAAGGTTCTTCCACATTGTAGCATACATGAGTACTTCATTATTTATTGTAGTTAATATTCTGTTGTATGAATATACTATATTTTGTTTATTCGTTTACCAGCTGATGGACATTTGAGTTATTTTCATTTGTTGACTATTATGAATAATGGTGCCATAAATATTTCTGAACAAGTTTTTAAGTAGCCATATTGAGTGGACCTTCGCTTTCATTTCTCTGGGGTAGATACCTCAGGGTGGAATTGCTCGGTCTTACCATAACTCTATGTTTAACCTTTACCTTTGGAGGAACTATCAGACTGCTTTCCAAAGCAGCTACCATTTTACATTCTAACCAGCAGTATATACAGGTTCCGATTTCTCCATATCATCTCCAACACTTGCTATTTTTGTCCTTTTTCAATTATAGCCATCCCAGAAGAGATGAAGTGGTATACATGTAGTTTTGATTTACATTTCCCTAAGAATTGAGAAAATTATCACATGCTTGTTAGCCATTTGTATATCACCTTTGAAGAAATGTCTATTTTTAAGACCTCTTTATATGTCAAGGACATTAGCTCTCTGAGTTTCAATATTTGAGTTTCAAATATTTTTCACAATTATCATACATGCAGTGTGATCAAAATACTGTTTCAATATTTTAAATGTATGACAGTAAAAGACACATTGCTATTAATCCCCCTCAAAATACTCCTCCTCACTTCAAATACACTTCTTTCTTACCACTTCCTGAAGCAGTTCTGGAAGTCCTATTTCATGAGTGTCTTTACAAGGTATGATTAAAAACATGTATGGTAGGGGGCCGGGGATTTAGTTCAGTGGTTCTGCCACCTGCCTCGAAAGCACAAGGACCTGAGTTCGATCCCTGGTACCAAAAAAAAAAAAAACATGTATGGTGGATGCTACTGCCAAGCGTCATCCAACAGGAAGGCAGGCTCATAAAAATATTACGGTGTGTCCTCAACCACCTTATTCACTAGGTCTAGCACGTGAGATTTCTGGCTCTTCCCCAAAGTCAAAATGACCATGAGGGCCGGAATTTAGCTCAGTGGTTCCGTCACCTGCCTCGAAAGTACAAGGTCCCAAGTTCGATCCCCAATACAAAAAAAAAAAATGATCATGAAAGGTAAACATTTTGAGTTGATTCAGGACATCAAGACAACCACTACAGCACAAATAAAGATATAAAAAGGAGTTCCAGAACTGCTTCAGAAAGTGGGAAGAATTGATAGGATGAGTGTGTTTGAAGGGGGAGGGGTTTGAGGGTAATTAATGGCAATGTGTCTTTTACTATAATAAAGTGATAAATTTTTAAATACTCACCATACTTTTTAATCATATCTCATATCCTTGATTTGATTGTGTGTGTGTACTTCTTCCCCCATGCAAGGTTTGGGATCATGCTTGGAAAGGCCTTTCCTACCCCAGAACTATTACAGCTTTTTAAAAATGGCTCTTAGATATTTTCTTCTAGGAATTTTGATTTAATTTTTTTCTTCCAGTCAAATCTTTTATCCACCTAGAATATATTTCAGTTTAAGGGGAAAGGTAAAAATTCAAACTTATTTTTTACAGATATCTACCCAGTTGTCCAAATGCCCTTTAAATAATCACCACTGACTTGAAATGCCCCACTTGTATTTACTAAAGTTCTGCTTGTATGTGGGTCTATTTCTGTACTGTTATTTTGAAAGTTATTCATTTACCCATGTACCAGTATCATAAATATTGCATGTTTATTTTTTAATTTAAGAAATTTCAAACATGCAAAAAATTTAGAGAAAATCATACAATGAGCTTCTCTATACCCATAACTGAGCTTCAACAATCAAATTCCTGCCATTCCTGTATTATTGTTTCTTTTTCTACAGGCTTGCTGTTGTGCTGGGAATTGAACTCAAACCCTCACAAATACTAAACACATGTTCTGTCACTGAGCTATAGCCCCAGCCCTAAAGTATTTCAAAGCAAATCATCTCACATAAAATTACTTCATTCTCTAACAGCGAAGGTCTTTTTCAACATGACATTTACTGTAATAGGAAGAATGATGGCCACCCAAAGATGTCCATGTCCTAATTCCCAAAACCTGCAAATAAGTGACCTTATGTGCAGAAGGGACTTTGAGATGTGGTTCGGGATCTTAAGATGGCGAGAGTATTTTGGGTTATCCAAGGAGAGTCCACATTATGATCAGGTTCCATGCAGCGAGGGATCAGAATCAGAGGAGATGTGACAACAGAAGCAAAGGTCAGGGTGAGGTGGGGCAGGGAGTGAGGAATGCAGGCAAGGGAACAGATCCTCCCCTCGAGCCTCCAGAAGGAACACAGCTCTGCCTCGTCCTTGATTCTAACCCAGTGACTGTGGCAGGCAGACTTCTGTCCTCCAGGACTGCACAGTAACAAACACTATGTGCTGTTTTAAGTCAAAATGCTGTGGCAGTTTGTTATAGCAGCAATAGAAAACTAATTCAGTTAATAAAATAAGCAACAGTTCATTACCCAGAGCATGTTCGATTTCTTCCAAATACTTCAAAAATATCTTTTAAAAAACTGGGACATAAGATGTACACATTATAGGTTACACTATGCTTAATTCAATATATACAGGGGAGTGAGCACTTGCATCTCTTCAAACACTAGTCATTTTCATGTGCTGAGAATTTAATATTCTTTTCTAGTCACTTAAAACACATCATAGATTGTGAAAACCAGAACTAATTTTCCTCTCTATCTGTGTTTCAGTGCCCCTTATCTAACTTTTTCCTCTCCTCCTCTCCCTTTTCCAGTCTCTAGAGACAGCTATTCCATTCCATTCTCTATGAAATTGACTTTTTAATTTCCACCAATGAGTAAGAACATGTGGTATTTGTCTTTCTGTGTCTGGCTTATTTCACTTAACATAATGACCTCCATCCAATTCCATCCATGACGCTGCAAATGACAGGATTTCATTCTTTCTATAGCTGAATAATATTCCATTGTGTATAGAGACCACATTTTCTTTATCCACTCATCTGTTGATAGACATCTGAGTTGATTCCATATCTTGGCTATTGTGAAGATGGCTGCAATAAACATGAGAGTGCAAATATCTCTTTGGTATAATGATTTCATTTCTTTTGGATATGTACCCAGTAGTGGGATTGCTGGACCATATGGTAGATCTATTTTTAGTTTTTTTAAGGAATCTCCATACTGTTATCCATATGGCTGTACTAATTTATATTCCCATCAACAGTGTATAAGTGTGTTCTCCTTTTCTCACATCCTCACCAACATGTTAATTTTGTCTTCTTTGATGATTGCCATTCTGAGAAGAGACAGAAATGATATCTCATTGTGATTTTTTTATTTGCATTTCCCTGAAGATTAGTGGTACTGGGAAATTGTTTTTCATACACTTATTGGACATCTGCATGTCTTCTTTTGAGAACTCTCTATTCAGATCCTTAGCCCATTTTTAATTGGATTATTTGGCTTTTGATGCTCAGCTTTTTCTTTTTCTTTTTTTTTTTTTTTTTTTTTTTTGGTACCAGGGATTGAACTCAGGTCCTTGCGCTTGTGCAGCAGGCGGTGAAACCACTGAGCTAAATCCCCGGCCCCCCAAAGATGTTCAGCTTTTTCAATTCCTTATATAAATCTCTTGTCAAACGGATACTTTACAAATAATTTCTCCCATTCTATAGGTTGCCTCTTTACTCTGTGGACCCTTTGCTGCACAGATACCTTTTAGTTTAATGTACAATCCCAGTTGTCTGCTTTTACTTTCGTTACTTCTGCCTTGGAGGTCCAATCCAAAGTATCTTTGCCTATAACAATGTTTTGAAGTGTTTCCCCTGTTATCTTTAGTATGAAAATATCTTCTTATAGTTTATTTGTTCAAAGATTGTATTGCTTTAAATGTAACATAGCATTCATAAGGCCAGTGAATTTTTAATTATTAGTCTATTTAAACTAACTGAATAAAACTGATGCCAAATAAATAAACACACAGAGTATGACAGCTCACAAGTCACATCTTGTTGACCTGGATAAGTCACCTTCTTTCTAGGCCTGGGTTTCCTACTCTGAAATGTGAGCGCATTGGACTAGATGAGAAATTATCTCAGGGGTGAGGATAATTTGGGGAACCCATGTCTGGGCTTCCTCAGATCTAGGAATGCCCTGAAATTGTATGTGAAGGAGACGAAGGTCCTCAACCTGTCTAGGTCTCAGAGTATTTTACAGATACCAGGCCCTGGCCTACTGGAGTGGGTGGTTTCCTTCATCCATATCAGAAGAGTTAAACACAGGATCCTGGAATTCCCAAGTGAGGTCTACATCCAAGGGTACTGATATCTTTTTTTTTTTTTAAACAGGGTCTTGCTATGTAGTTCAGGCTGGACTCGAACTGAGTGATCTTCCTGTTTCAGCCTCCTGAGTGCTGGGATTACAGGTGTGCAGCACCACACCCGACTACTGATACCAATTTAGAGTCAAGAACAAAGAAAGAAAGAAAAGAGACAGGGAGAGGGAGGGAGGGAGGAAGGAAGAGAGAAAGAGAGAGAGATAGAGAAAGAAAGAAAGAAAGAAAGA